GGGGTTGCATGCACGAATTATTTTATTTTTGTTGTTTTGTGTTTGTTTTTCTCATCGCCAAGTAAATAAAGGGACTGTTTGTTCGTCAGTGTGGTGTCAATTTATAGGTACACCTTGTCAGCAAGTCAATGTACAGGTACACTACATCAGCTTGTCAATGTGATATTATTTTCAGTGTATAGCTGTTTAGTGGCTCTTGTCTCTTTCTACTCCTGTTTTGTTTGGTTGGGAAAATGTTTTCCTTTTTCACTGGTTCGTTGTTGATGAACTTTTAGTTGTCGTCTTTTTACTTTTTTAGGGGGAGTAGCGGGAGGACACCACTGATATTGTTTATGTGTGTGGGGGGGAGGGGGGGGTTGGGTTGTTTATGTCTGCTTTGAGATATAGATTAGTCAATCGTCATGTGCTTAGCTGAGTGTAGTTGCCTTTAGATAGTCCGGGTAGGTTACTCCTTAGAGTAATGTTTCATTCCTCAAGGGGTGGAGTCGAACTAATGTGTTTGCTAGCTCTGTACATATACCACAGTGTGCAATGAACTAACCACACGCCCTAACCCTTTTTGTGAATAGAGTGGAAGCTGTCTAAGACGGCCACCCATTGTCGAGGAGAAAAGTGGACGTCTGAGACAGGTGGATGTCTTCTTATACAGGGTCATTATAATGTAAAAAATAATAATAATAATAATGATGATATTAATAGATAGTATTTGTATAGAGTGCAAATCCCCGCTCAACACCACGCTCTATGTGGTTTACAATCTATAAATACACAAGGGAAGAAATAAGAAGTGGCCGTTTGTACTGGTGATTGTCTTATGCAGGTGGTCGTTCATACAGGTGATTGTCTTATGCAGGTGATCGTTTGTACTGGTGATTGTCTTATACAGGTGGTCGTTTGTACAGGTGATTGTCTTATACAGGTAGCCATTTGTACAGGTGATTGTCTTATACAGGTAGCCATTTGTACAGGTGATTTTCTTATACAAGTGGTCGTTTGTACAGGTGATTGTCTTATACAGGTAACCATTTGTACAGGTGATTGTCTTATGCAGGTGATCGTTTGTACATGTGATTGTCTTATACAGGTAGCCATTTGTACAGGTGATTGTCTTATACAGGTAGCCATTTGTACAGGTGATTGTCTTATACAGGTAGCCATTTGTACAGGTGATTGTCTTATACAGGTAGCCATTTGTACAGGTGATTGTCTTATACAGGTAGCCATTTGTACAGGTGATTGTCTTATACAGGTAGCCATTTGTACTCGTGATTGTCTTATACAGGTAGCCATTTGTACTCGTGATTGTCCTATTAGATACAGGTGGCTGTTGGAGCATGTTTGGCTATAGTTTTCCCCAGTTCTGAAATAGATAGATTGTGTAATAAGGGTTTTTATATTTTAGTCCTGATACAGAGTAGACGAACCTCGTAGTCTGTTGTCTGTAGACTCTATGTTTGTGTGAAATGTTTGTATTGTTTGTTGGAAAAGTTTTTGTGATCCAGGGTGACTTTAGAGACTGCTGCTGTGTGTTCGTATGTTAGTGCGTCACCATAAACCACTTCATCATCATCAATCAAAATCTGTAACATATTAGATAAAAAGCGTATACTCTGTTAATTCCCGTAACTAATCGTGTACTTTATACAGGACTGTCAGTTTATTTTGCCTTCGACTTTTCATATATAGAGTGTATGTAATTTCTTATTGTCCTTTCACTGTTTTTCTTCAATTGATTTCGGGGGTTTCTGAGTTGAATATGTTAACTTTGTCTGTACTGTTGTCTAGTCGTGATTATTTTATTTGACTTTTTTTTTTATACCTGTCTCAGGTATTTCAGTTATTACATATCGGGAAATGGGAGGGTCCTCATTTTCAATTTTTAAATGAAGAGCTTGCTGATGCTTCAAGCTAAGTAAGGTCTTCTGTGGGTTAGTGGAGATTGTATGTTATGTCGCCATTTTATGTTCCTGAGATATATGTGTGTCCCGGGGGGGTCCTCCATCTGACTGAGACTTAAATCACCTGTGTACGTGTATGCATGTCCTGTAACAAAATGTCCTGTTTCTACAATACTTGTATTTAACTAAACTGTATGTAATTTGCATGATTGACATTGTATTTTGTCTTAATTAATTAGTCGCATGAGGAGAAATGTATTTGCTGACTGGGGCCTTTTTGTTTGTCAGGGGTTGTTTTGTGAAAAGAAGCAGATCTCGTGTTTTCTTTCAATAGAAAGCGATTTTTGTGTCATTTGATAGTAGAATACAGAGTGGTCAAAGGGAGGTATAAGTGTGGCTATTAATGTGTTAAGCTTTTTAATAAGTGTGTGCTTTCTCAAGATAATTGTGTCAGACAATCGCGCACATCTGCACTTTCTTTGCTGAAATGTGTTTTAAAAATCTAATTATCGTCCTTGATGTTTGGAAGGAAGCTGCTGGGTAGTTTTGAGTTTTCGTACAGGTGCTCTAAGAGTGACAGTATAAATTTAGGAAGTCAAATGAGGTTGTTTGAGATTTGTTTGGGGGGGGGGGGGTTTTGGGGGGAGGGGGGGGGTGATGAGCGTTGTTTTTTAACAAGATGTGTCTTTCCAGTAAGTTATCTGTCATCCCCTTTTTCTACTCGTATGAAGTGCATGTTTAAGTTTGGGGTTTTTTGGCTGGGGCATGGGGGGGGGGTTGTTTTATTTTTATAAAGGGGGGGGGGCAGATTTGTTATCCATTTTATCTATCACTCAAGCTGTTTTTCTTGGTTACATATTATTTTTAGTGTTTTTGTCTCTTGTCGCCTGGCAGTCACAGTACTTACCCATTGGCAAACCCACCCACCTACTTTGCTGTCTTACGGTGTGTATGGGGTGTCCACTAACTTCCTCATCACACTCTCCTGGAGATTCATCTTCAAAATTCAAAGAGAATTAGTAGTTCTATATGGACTGCTCGATGTAAGACTCTGCTCTACATCCCTTTTCAAAATGATGCGTGGGGGGCTGTCGTGGCCTGGAGCCAGATAGCGACGGAAATTTTTCTTCTCTAAAATTTTCTCCTTTCACCTCCTTTCCTGCTCTCTAGCGATGTTCTATCGTCTGCTTTCGTCTCCACTTTCTGCCCTTATCCCCTCACCTCCTCTGCCGCCTCCTTTGGGCTATTGACTCTTTCTGCAGCCTTTCTACTGCTACTCCTTGGCTCCCTCTTACTGCTGTCTTTCAGCCACACCCCTGATTTTATAGTAGGAAAGATCTACACTTACCCTTCTCGGACGAGGGTGAAAAATATCGGAGGTCCCGTGTGCTAGCTGCGCACGTTAAAGATCCCTTGGTGGTCCAGAATCGATAAGAGTAGGC